TTTAACATTCTGAGATTACTTTATAGATGTAAGATAAGAGACACATAGCATAGTTTTCTTTTTACCCTCAAAAAAACCTTCCAATAAATACAGTCAATGAGAGTCTAGTTTTTTTTTAAGTCCCTAATATTTGATATGAGTGAAGTTAGTTTTAAGTGAGTAATTTTACATGAGAAAGGGAGAATAATCACCCAAAGAGTACTGTCTTTGTGCAGTAAGAAGGTCAAACTAGCAGCAGATGGAAGGATCTTTTCAAGGTATCTTAAGGTATGTGTCTAAGTCCATGCATGTACACATACAGTGGAGGAGAGAGCATATTCTGGGGGCTGAGTGGCCTGTTTGTGTTTCTCTCTGTTTGAACACCTGCCAGTCCTGCTATATCCTACTGACCTACTGGCTTTCTAGAACCTGCAGGAAAATAAATCCTCCAGCATACCAGTGTACAATGCCAGGGCAACTGTCACTATCCACAGACCTTCACAGGCGACTCTGACTATAAAACAAGTTATTGTCCCTAAGTCATTTTCCCTAGCAAAGACAATAGGCAAAACAAACAATATCTAGAAGTCTTTCCCAGGAGTTTACAAACCCTCAATATTGGATGCAAATGTTTTAGTGTATAATAATTTTTCTGAATAACTGAACCATATATTCATCAAATTTTCAAACATACCTATTTTTAAAAGACTATCATGTTATCCCAACTTATTAAAATATTTCCTTCCCATTCAAAACGGGTATTAAGGAATCAAAACTCACTATAAATTTAAATGTCTTCTCAAAATAGGTCAATTCTGATTTCTTATAGGAAACATAAAGTTAGAAAATACTAAGAACTCAAAATAAATAAGCCCTGTCACTTTAACTGAAGGAACTCAAGTTCTCTTATGGCCTTTCAAGGTCTCAATGTTCTTAGGTATAAAACAATAAGTTTGAAGTAAGTGATTTCTAAGATCACTTTCAGTTCTGAAAATGAGTCAGCACTGTGATATAAGCCAGGAAAGGCAAAGACTGAGAATCCTGGTATTTTTTTCCCTTAATCCCCTAAAAATATCAGCAAGTTGCTTGTGCAAATAGTGCTATTTACTTTCTCTAAAGTTTTAAAGTATCCATCTGATAAAGGATTTTCTTAGCATTTCCCACAGAGACAGCAACAGATAAAAAGTACTCATGTTTTTCAAATGCTTTAATACAACTTGGAGAGAACTGGTTTCATAGAGAAAATATTACCTACATAGGTTTTTGTCATATATTTCACTGATAGGATGAGATTTGACATTTAAATCACCAGTTTAAAACTAATAATATTAATTAATTTAAATAAGAGTTTTAAACTGATGTTTAGGTTATATTTCTATATAAGATACATATTATAGGGATACTCAATCAAACTAGTATTTTCAATGATATTAATGGATACTGTGGCTGAGGAGTTAAAATAGAGTGTTTTTTTAAAAGCACACACTTTCAATTCAGACAAGACAGCACATATTCATCTATCCCTGCCTCTTCTTTATAAGAATAATTATAAGCCCTGGAAATAATGCAGTCATCCAAAGGAGGACTCCAAATGGTGGAAAGAGGGTGGTGGACCAGTGAACACCCCTGAACTGCAGAAACAAAGCCTCCTATCTAACAGTAGGTTACTCAGGTGCACAGTCCCTGACCCTGTCCTAGCAGCAGAACACGGTACTGAATAAATTACCCAAATTTTTCTTTAAAATATTTTTAACTAAAAATATTTACACCGGGAATAGACATGAACAGGAAAAAAAAGGTCCAACATATATCTAATATGAACTTCAGAAGACATAATCAAAGCAAGACAATATATGATAAAATCATACTTCGAATTTTCAATAAGAAACACAGGAGTCATCTGATTCATGATGCATAAAAACATTCCAAGAAAGAGCAATAAAATGTAGCCCACAAGAGCATCCAATAGTGGGATTCATCTTAGTGAAACCACAGAACTCCAAAGACAATGAATAGCCTTAAATATAACCAAGACACAAACACAGAAAACGTGGATACATTTAAGTGAGCATTGACGATAAACACAGTAAAAGAAAACATTAATTATATAAAAATGTCCTGGGGATATAAATAATGTGGTGGAACTTCATTTTGAAGCATGGGAGATGATCAGAATCAAAACCATACAAGGTCTTTATGTTATTCAAGAGACTGGGTATTATTATTATTAATTACATCAGTTAAGACAAAATATGGAACATAAGAAATAATGACTAAAACCAGAAATAGGATATATAACATTCAAATCAATAGAAAACAGACTATAGAAACATTATAGATCTAATAAGAGTCAAGAGGGAAATATAAAACAGAAGAACAGAAGAAGAGCAAGGACAAGGAAATGTGCCCCAATAAGAAATGACACCACATGTCAAAAGACAAGTTTGTTAAAACTGACAAAATAAGTGTGCAGTTCTATTAAGGATGGCCTCCTTATAAATGCCTGAGAAAGGATGGGGAAGGAAGCAGATATGGGCAAAGGGAGAAAGAGCACAGTAATGCAAGCCCACCAGGAGCTCCAGAGCTACAATGATCCCTCTGAGTTACGCCGAAATGGACTAATATTTATTCTCCACATGGATCAGCCATTGGATGGGAGCTGCCCTAAAAAAAGAGTATGATCTGAAACAACGGGGCTCTCTACAGCTCAGGCATTCCCTGAAGTGTCTGACAATTGAAGGCCACTTGTTGACAACATGCTCAGGCTCGGGTCACCAGTCCTTCCTTGAAGAAGGATTTGGCACATCACAGTTTCCACCATGTTACTATAAAGTGGTGCAACAACCCATGTTCAAAGGAACCCATGTGTCATTATCAACAACATCCCCATGTCTTCTCCAAACCATGCTGCTTTTATTTTCTTAGAGGAATGGGTGAAGTTTCATGTCACAATAATAAAAGATAAATCCAAATGACTAACCCTGAAAATATTTCTAACTTAAGACTCCTTGCTCTCTACTTGAAATAAGTCAAATAAGATTTAAAGAGATACCTGGGACTCTTTATTCCTTCATGATTTTAAATGTTCATTTTATGAACCAAAATGAAAAATATCATTTCTGTGTCTAGTGTCTTTATGAAACAAATCTGTAGTTGTACATACACAGCACCTGTTATTTTTAAATACCTGTCTCTAGAAGGCAAAGGACTCCCAAGTTCAGAAAACCATATATGATTGATTTCTTATTCCTCGATCAAAACAACCCTATTATAAAAGCAAACAAGCATGACCAAGCGGGTACCCTCTAGAGAAATTTAGGATAATTTATTTTTGCACGATATGTCAAGCTAGAAATACACTGAAAAGTAAATAAGCTGATAAAAATACAAGTAGACACATGGCAGAATTATTTAGCTCGTAACTGTATAAGCAATATAGAAAGATGACAGATATATAGATTAAACCATCTCAATCCATCAATCATGCCATCTCAACAATTTCAGTACATTTAACACTCTTACTTTTTTTGTAAATTAGCAAAAAAATGGCACCCTGCTGTTTAAAAAAAGAAAAACAATAGAAGCACACAGTAAACATGTTGCTTGCCAAGTCCTATAAGTATTGATTTGTAGAGTTGAATAAGCCAATATTATGCTGAAGACACATGTTGACATTAAGGGGTTCCTCTCTTGGGATGTCAGAAGATAAATGAGGTGCCCTGAGAGGGAAGCTCAGCTGAACTTTCCTCTACCTGAAATGAAATCACTGGCTTTTTCCACCTTCTTGTCATTTCATGTGCAGAAAATTCCATATCCTTCCCTAAACCTGAGATTGGGGATAATACATTTGAGGCCCCCAAATTGTTTTTGGTTTTATGAAAATTATTGGCATAACAACAGTTTTTAGCAAAAGCAAAGGGAAGAATTTATGATCCACTGCAAGTGGGGGTAAGTATCTAGACTTTCATTATATTTTATTGTAATTTTTTAAATTTAATATGATGCCTTCGATTACTACAATAAAGCCAAGACTTACCGGCAGCTGAAAACCTCTGAGTTTAAAAAATGCATGTGATTCAAAAAACAGTTATATCACATACAGATGAAAATGCAGAATGCACACAATGCATTTCTATTTAGTAGCACAACATACATGTGATGTAAACATAATGTAAATGCAATGCAGTTTTAAGTGAAAGTTTCACAATGTTGAAAAAACTATGTGTATGTCATACATGTGATGAATGCATAATTAAGATCTGTTCCTGTAATTAAGAGCTATTCCTCTACGAGCTCCTCCTAATACTTGGTTTAAAGCTGTTGGCTACAGTGGGTTCCGATTTTTGTGTGAAGTATGGCACATGGAAGGTCGTCTGTGAGAAAGGGAAAGAAAGAAGCAAAACAGGAAGAAGGAAGAAAAGGCAAGAAGGAAAGAGAGGAGTTGGAGGGTAGAGGGTCTCTCCCCACACTTACAGCTTGGAGCTGGGGGTCCTGAACACAACCCAGGCCCCCTCACCAGACATTATGCAGAGCTTCCCAAAAGTTCTTGGCAGAGCCTTCATTATTCCCAGGTTTGGATGCATCCCATTTGGTGCCCCAGATCCCTGGGTTTGTCGGGGGCCACAACCCATCAAATTCTTGGGTACTTCAGGTTCCCACCAGTGCTCACCACCCGCAACCACTGGGCACCGTGCTCCCAACCACCGCCAGCACTTGGGTTTCCTTCTATCTCACTCCATCCTCCCTTGGATCTCCCTCCTTGCCAGTGACTCGCCAAGAAGTCCAAGGGCAGCAGCACTGGCAAGAAGGAGAGGACGAAAGGGAAGAGGCCAGTCATTGGATTGACTCTAAAGAGGCGCCAACAACGCCGTCAAGGCGACCATCCTGGCTCAGTGGCTCCATTCCCCTTCTCCTCGCATCAGCCCCACAACACCCACACTCTCCATTCCGACTTGGATGTGTGATAAAGTAAGAGAAGGGAGGCTAAGGAATAAACCCGCAGCCTCCTAGGCAGCCCTTACCTTAGGCTACCCTGGTGGAAGCCGCGCTCCTCCCGCCGGGGGCGCCTCGTTGCACCACAGCGCTCTGGACCCCGGGCTCCAGCCGTGGCTCAGCCGGGTGCGGCTCGACAGGGTATGTACTGGGAGCAAGCCTCCTTGCTCCGTGCAGCCTGGCCGGCCACTAGGAGACCGAAACTGCCCAGGCGGGGCCAGGAGCCCCAGAAAAGGGCGCTCGGGCCGGGCCGGGGGCGGCTGAGGAGCGCGCGCTGTGACTGGCGGACTGGCGTGGGGGTTCCGGATCAGGACACCACAGTCCGCTGTGATGCACCCGCGAGCTTTTATCTTCTCAGCTGACCCTCAACGCCCTGTCCCTATGCCCCCGCCCGGATCCAGTCCCCGGAAGAGACAGCTCCCGAGTACCACTTGGTCTGCAGCGCTGCGCTCCTCAGCCCGGTGCGGGGGGAATAACAATGTGACCGTATTGCACGGACTAGAAGCTGTGTAGTAGGTTGTAACTGCTGAGGCCACCACCTGTCAATTCTCGGGAGGAAAGCATGCCGCCTGCAGTGAGCTGGCCTCTTCCTGATCGCCCTCCCCTCTTCTTTCCTTTCCCACCTACCTCTCCGACCTCCCGCAATACTCCACAGGCACGATACTAGGGGAGTTTTGCAAAATAGCCCTCACTCGCAGTCGGGAGCTCACAGCATCTCCCTTTCCACCAGAGCTGAAGGATTACGCACAGCCTTGTGTGCCTATCAGCCGGATGCCGAAAATCCTGGTTTGAACCTCACGCTTGCCCGGGCCCCCTCCCCCGCCCCCATTCATAATCCCAGAGGCCGTCTGCCACTACACACCTCCCCCAGCCGCCCGCGCTTGCTCCCATTCGCCTTCCCTGGAACGTGTCAGTCACTGGCTGTTCATCTGCCATGAATACAGTAGGAAGGAGTCCGCAGCTAAAGACTGCACAAAGGGGGATGGGGCGGAGGTGGACGGACTCAGGGCCGGGGGTGGGCGGAGGCGATGCAAGGGAGCTAGCCAGCGCGTGTGGAAGGAGCCAGAGCGTGGGAGCCCGCTCTCTCCTGTTGCACAAAGGACTCCAGAGTGACAAGCGCAGTGCTCCCCAAACCAACAGGTTAAATCACCTCTGAGGTAGTCCATCAAGAGGGTCTGGGAGTGGGTTCCATAACTTGGGAATTCGTGACACAGCAACAGGCAGAGGCCCAGGAAACCTGACTTGATCCCTGATCCAGCTTTAGAAACCCAGCTGGGTGGAGTCGTGTGTGTGTGTGTGTGTGTGTGTGTGTGTGTGTGTGTGTGTGTGTGTAGGGGAGGAGAGAAGAGATGGGAAAAGTCCAGGTCTCCTTTTCCCTGGGTGACAAGCCCTTTCAGAGAACTAGAGAGGAAGCTGGTTAAGGTAAAGAGAAGGAAGATAGGAATGAGTAACTTTGTTTGTTGAACTACTACATTAGCTAGATACCAGAAAGACTTTAATGGATTAAATTACCCATTTCTTAATTCATCCTAGTAAACACACTCATTTTGCACTGAACAGCAGTATACCCTGTAGATACTGGGGGTACAGGGATTATTAGGGCATAATCTTTTATTGGATTCAAGCAGTTCACAGTCCAATGAGAGAAATAACTATGAAAACCCAAAATGTCTAATGCTAGTTATTATACAAGGAAAGTACATACCAATTACATAAGTGGAAGCAATTTTCTCTATGTAGGAGGAGGAATGGGTCAGGGAATTAAATCCCATCGGAACTATATATTAAGGAACAAATAAGGGCTTACCAATGAAGCAGTAATAACTTTCTATTATTCTCCCATTAACCCAAACCAGTTTTACAAACCATATAATGAAAGGCCAACCTGATAGCTTTTCAATGTCAGGACTCAGTGGACTCCTACTCTGAACTGTTTCCTCAACCAATAGCTGCCAGAGTGAAGAGCATCCAATCTGTACATCCAAAATGCTGCCAACTGTCCAAAGGTTATTCTGCCTTCTTGTACTTGTTGCTTTGCATTCTATACCATCCACCTTATCCATTACCTTGAAATTGAGCCCAAAGCCAATATTAATAATATCAAGGCATTGGGCATCTGAATGAAGCCAAAACGCCCTTTAATGTAGTCATGATTTAGATACAGTTTCTGTTAAACGATGACAACATGATCTTTGTGAATTACAATGATAATTATTTAGGCTTATTAAATATAAAGATACCATTGCCCAAAGAGAGTATGGATGGGAACCTAAAATCTGACTTAAAGAAAAAAAGAATCAACCTGAATGGCATGCTCCCCTTCTCCGAATATTATACCTTTGAAAGATATTAATGATTATCAAGACTCTCAAGGTTATTACATAATATTTAGAAAAATATGTCCAAAGTGTTCTTATTGCAATATGAATTAAATAATGTCTACTGTTTATCTTTCTCCTTCTAGAAATTATATAAACTAAAAAGAGATGGGAAAAGTTAAATGCAGGTTTTAGCAAACTTATACAGATTTTACCCACAAACTCTAAAGTATTTGTAGAGATTGTCAAAAAGCAGTTGAATTTGGGCAGAAGTCATATGGAAAAGACCCAAGGAGAGACTGAAGGAAATAATAAAAGAGATCTCTGAAAGTACCAGAAAAGAAAACACACACACACACACACACACACACACACACACACACACTTCATGAAAATGAAGGACTTACTATAAAATTAAAACCTATGTTTCTCCAAAACTGGATCAGAAGAAGAAGGAGTAAGGAAGAAGAGAAGCATGGATACGGGCATGGACAGGAGGCACCAAGAGTTTCCAGGGAACCCAGTTGCAGCAGATCTCCAGGTCAGCAAAAAATCAGCAGAACTATAATCCTTTAAGTTGATAAAATCCCTATGAAGTGTGAAAGTTGCATATCTTGTCTGTAAGAACTGGGAATTGTGGACTTATTGCCAGAAGGTCTCCTGAACCTAATGTCACTTTGAAGACTCAGAAGAAATGAGTATGCAGGGACACCAAGATTATTGGAAGCAACTCTAATTTTGAGGCTGCAGTAAAAATGAATCTGTAATCTACTGTTGCATAACAATGGTTTAGAAAGCAACTAATCTGCCTGCAATTCAGTGATGCCATGCATTAGGATGGGCTCAACCATGTAGTTTATCTCTCCTCTAGCAGGTCTCACTTATATATCTGAGCCTCAGAAGGAATGGCTTAAACATCTGGGATTCCTTTCCAGAAAGCTACTCAGACTTTTGCACATTGAAGATAGTTGCTAGAAGCAAAAAGCAAAAAAAAAAAAAAAAAAAAAAGACAGCCCTAAAGTTCACATTCTTTAAAGGTTTTGCCATGTATCATTCTTGCTACTTTTTCTTTGGCCAAAACAACTCAAAAGCTAAGTCTAGAGTCATGGTGGGAGCCAGAAATGCAAGGGTATGGATATAGGGAAGTGACATTTGTTGGGGCCATGAATATAACAATTTTCTACAGAAAGTAGGAGTTGTTTGGTTCTGAGAACAGGAGAGCTACCTTTAAGCCTTCACTTCAGACATTTTCTCCAAAGATTTTAACCAGAAAAATGATTAATGCAATAGTGAATAGTAATAAAGAATTAACTGGCACAAGACAGATACCAACATATCATTAAGAAAAAATATTAAAAATGAGCATCAAAGCTTATAGTAGGAGAGGGGAAAAAAGTGTTGCCACAGAGCCAATGAAAATTTTGAGTATGACTTTTATAATCAGTGAAAAGCCTTCATAAACATAAGTAAATATAGTATTTATTGTTGCAAGGCAGTGTTCCCAGCACAATTCTATGAGTTAATTATTAGCAAATCTCCCATTATACAGACCCAAGTAACTTGCTCAAGATCACACAGCTAGTTAGAGGAGGGGCCAGTGCTTAACCCAGTGAGTCATGCTCCACAGTTGATGATCTTATTCATTAAGCTATCCTGTTTCTCTAAAGGAAGCATATTTACTATATTTTAATAAGCATTATAATGTATCAAGGAAAACACAGATGAAATGAATGAAAAACACAGATGATGAGGAGAATTAAATGAGCTGACACAAATCAAGCAAGAAGACGACGAAAGAACCAGGCCACTCAGGTATGAAGACAATAGAAGAAGAAACACAAGGTGGGACTAAGTACTGCGGGTAAGTAGGAGCCAATGAAGACAGGTATAAGGAGAGGGGTCAAAATTAATTGAAAATGAAGAGAAATATTTTAAAGTTGCTTGTGTGAAACTAATAATGATGGAAGAAATACATGACAGAGCCAACACACATATAACCAGTGTCTCTGCACAGTGGACTGGAACAAATACTTTGAAAGTAAATTAAAAAAAAAAAAAAAAAGAATCTTCCTGAAATTGAAAGAAAAAAAATCAGACTTGAGGCTATATGCTGAAAGTCAACACCATATGCTAAATAATATTGATTCATAATGGTCAAACCAAGACACGGGTTAATAAATTATTGAATATTTTTCAGATTCACTTTGCTTTTATTATGCAAATTACTAAATTTTGATTGTAAAAAAGAAAGACACCTAAAGCAGAAAAGCAAAGAGATCAAATGCCTATAATGAAAAATAAGTCAGCCTACCCTCAGCCTTCCTCAAAACAACATTCAGAGCCTAACAGCAATGTCATAAAACTTTTGACATTCTCAAGGAAAGAAAGTGTAATCTAAGGATTTTATGTTTAGTCAAATTATTCATCAAATATACAAATCATAGTTTTAAGAAATTAGAAGTCAAATAATATTCCTCACATGAGAAAGAATAAATCTGGGAAATTTTTCTCAGAAGGACTAGTGGTGAACGGTGAACAGGGAACATATTTTGTTATAAAACTAAGACTATAAAAAAACATATGAAGCTTGGCAAAATGATGCACAGCTGTAATCCCAGGGGCTCAGGAGGCTGAGACAGGAGGATCACAAGTTCAAAGCCAGTCTCAGCAAAAGAGAGTCTCTACGTAACTCAATGAGACACTGTCTCTAAATAAAATACAAAATAGGGCTGAGTGTAACTCAGTGGTCAAATGCCCCTGAATTCAATCCCTGGTACCAAAAAAAATATGAAAGTTATTGGCTTTGAAAATATTGAAATGACATAATTCAGAAATACTCAGAGGGGAAAGGAAAAAAATTCACTGATTGACTCACTTGTAATTATCATCCAAACAGTAGTTTAAGCATGTGTAACAATGTGAAGATAAACTCTAAGAAATGTGACTTTTTAACAAAATATTATACTGGATAAGGTGCACTGTGGGAAAGAGGACACATGTCAATTTATCATTGTTAATAACTAACAGTTATATATAAAACCAGAGAGGATTCTGATTATTATATAAATCTATTATAAAAAATAGCCACTAAAAAGCAAATCTAGAACTTAATGAATAACTTCCTAAATTCATGCATGTGTACAGGGATGTGCACACACATTCACATGAGAGCAAATAAAACTAAATATTTAGTAAAAGATCTACACACAAACAAATCTATATATGCAAGATTT